TGATTCTCCACTACTCGTTCCTGATGTAGTCATTTACATCTGTGCAAAAGTGAATACAAAGTGGATGTAAAATACTACCACTGGTGTATGTGAGTGGAGAATTCTAATTTTACACTGACTTTTCACAGGGTAAATGACCACACAAGGTGCAAAGCAGTGAAGAATTAGGCTCCTGGTTTTGGCACTGATTAACTCTTGTAAAATGTCTGTCAGTTGTTGTGTGTGGATACAAGGTGCTGGAGACACAAGATGAAGTTGTTTCAGCTTATGGGTTTGTTTGGGGTTTTTTTGCATTGCCCTTTTCCCTTAGTGTAAACAGGGCCAGAGAGTGAAGTAATATAAACTGGACAGAAAGAAATATGAGAGGATAATAGAAACAGACAATAAAAGAAGACAGTGAAGGGGAATGTATAACAGATGTTGTAACTGACCCCACTTCAGGTCATTGCTTTGAGTGTAGTAATACACCTTTCTCTAGCTATCTGGTACCATTATAGATTTACTACCACCTTGGAGATGAATAATGTGCTGCTCCAAGTACTAGGTTCTTCAGGCTCTAGCTTTGAGTGGGGGGGGTCCCAAGAACACTCGCACATTTCAAGTAATAGAGAAATTTCTTTGCAACTTATTTCTGGCAGCCTTAGTAAACACCCTAGGTATGATTACATTGTTACAACACAAAAGCCATGATAAACTCAACATTTCCCTAGGGGCTGTCCAGTCCAGAGGTATACAAGGTAGCAAGGTCCTAAGTTCCCTCCACTCTCTTCTTCTGCCTGCAGACTGCAGCCCTATGCCTTCCTCCTGTACTGACTGCTGGCCCCCTGCCAGCAACAGGCTATATCCCTGTATGGTTTACAAGGCTCTCCAGCCCCAGTTCTCAGGTACCGCTATCTAGACTTCCCTCCAGAGGCAGCTCCCAGGCTGCTGCTTCCAGCTTACTGCTCCTGCTCTCCTAGAGCCTCCAGCTACTTCAAGATCTTGGTCCCCTCTATGTTCTGGATGTTATTTCACTTTCCTGTGCTGAAGACATTATGTAGCCCTCTCTAGCTGGATATTGGACTGGGTGGCAGTACAATATCCTCCTTCAAAACCCTCCTTAAAACTCTCCTTTTCTCCGATACCCTCTAAAAACTTGAAAACAGTTAGGCTGCTGGTGTGCTGAAATCACTGCATATCATGCTGACCCGTACTGTTTCTCTGTACTTCCCCATCTGTTTGTATCCATCCATTATCTCTCTTATCTTATACTCCTTGGAGCAGGAACTGTCTTTCTCTTCTGTATTTGTACAGTGTCTCGTACAATGAGGTCCTAGTACATGATTAGGGTTTCTAGTCATTATGGTAATACAAATAATAATAATAAGGACCCAACAGTATTAATACAATATCATGTAAGCCAGCCTGTCATAAATATAAAGGGAAGGGTAAACACCTTTAAAATCCCTCCTGGCCAGAGGAAAAACCCTTTCACCTGTAAAGGGTTAAGAAGCTAGGATAACCTCGCTGGCATCTGACCAAAATAACCAATGAGGAGACAAGATACTTTCAAAGCTAGAGGGGGGGAGAAACAAAGGCTCTCTCTGTCTGTGTGTTGTTTTGCCAGGAACAGAAAAGGAATGGAGTCTTAGAACTTAGTAAGTAATCTAGCTAGATATGCATTAGATTCTGTTTTGTTTAAATGGCTGATAAAATAAGCTGTGATGGATGGAATGTATATTCCTGTTTTTGTGTCTTTTGGTACCTTAAGGTTTTGCCTAGAGGGATTCTCTATGTTTTGAATCTGATTACCCTGTAAGGTATTTACCATCCTGATTTTACAGAGGTGATTCTTTTACTTTTTCTTCAATTAAAATTCTTCTTTTAAGAACCTGATTGCTGTTTCATTGTTCTTAAGATCCAAGGGTTTGGGTCTGTGTTCTCCTATGCAAATTGGTGAGGATTTTTATCAAGCCTTCCCCAGGAAAGGGGGTGTAGGGTTTGGGAGGATTTAGGGGGGAAAGATGTTTCCAAGCGGGCTCTTTCCCTGTTATATATTTGTTAGATGCTTGGTGGTGGCAGCAATAAAGTCCAAGGGCAAAAGGTAAAATAGTTTGTACCTTGGGGAAGTTTAACCTAAGCTGGTAAAAATAAGCTTAGGGGGTTTTTCATGCAGGTCCCCACATCTGTACCCTAGAGTTCAGAGTGGGGAAAGAACCTTGACACAGCCCAAGACCTTCAATTATCCATTCAGTTCAGAAGATATGAGGCTTGTTCAAGTGCCAGGGACTGATTAAAAATAACAATCAATGTTAATAATTAATTTATTCCCTAATACTCCCAGTAGGGCCAATCTAGTTAACAAAATAGAACTGTGGGGGACATTATGCAATAAAAAGGGTTACTTCTTAATATAGTATAGAAAATGAACAGAGAGGCCTGAATTTCATCTTTTGTGTATGATCCCTCATGCAGATCATCAAAGAGATTAAAGATCTGAAGAGGCCAATACATTATCTAATAACCTAAAGCAAACAAGATAAATTACTCCAATAAAATATCTTGATATTGAGTTCTCCTAGAATTTCTATGCTCTGTTGCAGCTTTCTAAACATATTCTTTTATTTTAAAAGTACACATTTAGGAAAAATTTGCTAGTAGTTTAATCTCATCATAGGGTGATGACATCAGAATACAAATGTTTAAAATGGTAACAAACCTTGTTGTCATGCTGGGCTTCTTGCTACTTCAGCAAACACAGAATCTGACCCGCCACTGTGTATCACCAGTGTAACTCTATTGAAACTAAAAAAGCAACACCAATGTAAAAATGGAGTAATGCAGTGGACGGACTGCTATTTTGGTAAGGAATATTTTCTTTCATCTTTGACTGGACAGCAAATTGTACCCTTTCCTCTCATAAATGGTCTAAGTCACTGTGATACAGATCATCTCCAGGACTACTGTATCTGCTTCAAGTGCAATTTATTCTACCTGAGATCAAACAGAGTCAGCAAATGAAAGCTACAGCTGGTGCAGCATGCAGTTGCTCACATACTAAAAACAAAAACTGACTGAAACATAGCACATTTGGTAATACACAGATTGGTTTAGAGATGAATGGGGGCCAGTAGTCAAACTAAAAGTATTACCACTAATATACACAGCCCATAGTGCTTAGCTATCTTGGGGACCACCTGATAATCCACAGCTCTTCATACCAGCTGTACTACACAGGGACATTGCAACTGAAGAGAGCCAAGACAGAACTCAAGTGCTTATGTTATGGACAGATCATTTTCAGTTGCAGGAAACCATTTGTGTAACTCCTTACTAAAGAAGATTAGAGCGAGGTAAACCTCCATGTGTTGAGATCAAAATATAAGAGTCGCCTTTTAAATAAAGCCTTTCCCCAATACAAATGTAATAATAATAATTTAAAAATAACTAACTGACAGAAGTTATCTCTGAAGTCAAGAGCTTATTGGGATTCAAATAAAGGACAGAAAATGTATATGGATAATGAGAAAATGCACAATTATATTAAAAAGGGTGGCAGGGAGATAGTTTGGAAGGGATACAAACCTTCATGCTTCAGAGCATAAGCCAATCTCTGGCTGAGGAGGTTAGGAAAAAACTCCTTATGGGCATATTATTCCATAACACCCACTTCCAGGTTTCTTGCACTTCCCTCTAAAGAATATGATTCTTCCCTTTTTCAGAGAGAGGTTACTAGACTAGATGGATCACCGATTGAACACAGTATGGCCATTCTCATATTACAAACAAACTCCCTGGAACAATGTGGAGGGAGAGAGGACACATTTTTGGCTTTTGTGCTTTTTACATAAAGTTTAGTGCTTAGGTAGCACTTAGTAATATCTTAGAAAAAATGTGCACTGACCTGATGGAGCAAAGGAATACTATAGTAATTAACCTTTATTTATACAGAGCTATATTTATCAAAAGGTGCAGGGACTCTAGTCCATCTAGGATCCAAAAATCTACTTTCCTATGCACCACCCCTGCACAACGATATACAATGTAGCAATTTAGCTATATCCTTTGGGAAGCACTTTGCAGTGACATTTAACTTTACATATATAGAGAGAAAATCTGCTTTCAGATACAGAGGTGCTATTTCCCCCTGGGGTGGTTACAGGAGTGCAGGTAACAGAGGTCAGTATCTGTCCCTTAAAAGCACAGTGAACACAGGTGCTTAAAACAACTTGTTCCCACTATTTTGTTCAGTGTCTCCTCACTCTCTAAGAGAACGCCCACCCTCCTTTGGCATAGTTTCCAACACGTGAGAGAGAGAGAGAGACAGAGGGAAATTGTGTCTTTCGGAAGGACTCAGCTGTCATGAGCCAGGATGGCACTAGGCTTTGGGATAACTACCATGCTTCGCGCCTGCCAGGATGAGGAGTTGCAAAGAGGTGACTGGATGGCCTGGCCAGGCAGGGGATTTTGTGGGGCAGACCCTGGAGCTAACAATCAGGTACGTGTACTGAGGTACCTGCCACCGGCCTTACCTGTCTGGCTAACAGGGGCGGGCGGGGCCGCATTTTCTGCCTGGCTCTAAATCTGGCCCAACTACGCCGATGTCACAACTTGCCAAGGCCGCAGAGATGGCCCGTTACAGCCCGCGCCACGGTGGAACCCCTTCACACCCGAGTTAGCGGGACTGATTTAAAACCACCTGGCAAATGTCCCCCGTGTAGACACAGAAGTGGACTGTCTAGACCCAGGACACTTTCCTTTCCGCTTCCATTGACACCAGCAGCGTTACCCCATCAGCCCCCTCCCCCCGCACTCAGGAAGACTGGGCTAGGGCCAGGTCCCCAGTAGTCCGAGGAAAGTCAATGACTCGCCCTGCCCCTCCCCCAACAGTCCTTGCACCGGCCGCTAAGGGGGGGGAAGGGGAGGTGTAAAGGAGTGCGCAGGCGTGAGAGAAGACGAGGGTTGGGTTTTCAAGGACGTCAGTGTGGTGACGTGTGTCCGCGGAGCTTCTCCGCCAATCACATCCCCACTTGTTGGCCGGCTGCCGCGCCCCCTGCGTCGGAGAAGGACAAAGTCTTTGAGCAGGGTCGCTATACGGCCTCTCAGCCGAGGTGCCGGTGGAGCAGCGGAACCGAGAGCGCGCGCCGCTACCGCCGCCATTTTAGAGGGTGAGTGTCAGTGAGCTGGGCTGAGCCGGCGCGTGCTCTCCCCGGAGCGCGCGGGACTGAGCTTCTGGGTCCTACTCGCTGCGGGGCTGCGGCCGGTGCCCCGGCGAGCGCGCGGCCGCTGCTAACTCCCGCTTCGTGGCCGCCTCTCTCCCCAGGCCGCCATGTTCTCGTCCGTCGCGCCGCTCGCCCGCCTAAACCCATTCCACGCGCCCCATTTGCAGCTGCTCCAGGACGGCGTGAGGAAGCGCCCGGACCCCACCGAGCCGCCCAGCCCCCGGAGGAGCCTGGCGGCTGCCGCTGTCGCCGAAGGTAAATGGAGCAGCTGGAAGGGAGGCTGCGGTCGCCCTCCCGAGTCACTCCGTCCCGGGGGTAGGACGGGCTCTGCCCGCCGGAGCTGGGAGGAGCTTGGACTCGCGCGGGCCTCTCCAATGCTCTTTGGAGGGCAAGGAAGGGCACGGGGCGTGGGAGGCGCGCCCAGTCTCGGCTCCTTCCTGGCTTGTGTCGGGTCCCAGGTGCTCAGGGTCCGGTCGCCCCGCGCCCAGGGCGACTCTGGGCCCGGCTCTGCCGCGGTAACCTTGGCGCGGTCAGGCCGCAGGCCTGTGTCCCCCCGCTTCTGGGAGAGCCAGAGTGGACAGTTTCTCCAGTGCGTGAGCCCCTGAAACCTGTGCCAGGTGCTGGGACACAGGGCAGTGTGGCTGCTGCTAGTTCACAGCCACCCAGGGAAGCGCGGGCAGAGACTACAAGGACTGCCAGTCATGTATTCCTTCCTCTACGTATTTCATTGGCACACACCGCCATGGACTAGGCCCACCATCCATGTCTTAAATTAAAGTAAGGGCACGTTATCTGTAGAAAGTAAATTTCCTGTGGCCCCCACCAGAGTTTTTAAAGGGAAGAGGAGTATCTTGCTGATGGAGGGAATAGATCTGGCATGTATTGAAAATCCTACATGGTTTGATTATTTTTTTTCCTGTAATGCGAACTCCATTTGAAGGATGTACAAATTCTGTAAATTTTTAAAAGTAATTGGATGCAAACTGGAAATCTAGACAACTTCATCAATTAGTCAAAGTACCACCCTCTTCTCTCTGAATATCCTAGCCAAATTTTCAGTGCTTCACAGTCATGAGTCTATGAAATGGTTTTTTTCTGTCTCAAAAAATTGATATAAAGGTATCTTCCTAGACATAAAGTGCTGTCAAACTCTGCAGTGTGGCAAATGAAAAATTCTATCATGTCATGGCCATAATCTTGTGTGGGTAACAATAGTAATTAAAAAAAAAAATCAGCGAGTGATGCTTGTATCAAGGAAAGTTTCCAGTTAATTAATAATACTGGCACTTTTTTCTTCATTAGATCTCCATTCTCTTTACAAAGGAGGTCTGTATCACTATCTCCATTTTAGTATGAAACTCTGTCATAGAGGTGATTTGTCCAAGGACGCCTGGCAGGCCAGTGGCTGAGCTGAAAATAGAGCCCAGGTCTCCGGATACATGGCCCGGTGCTTTAGCCCAGGGGTGGGCAAACTTTTTGGCCGAGGGCCACATCGGGGTTGCAAAACTGTATGGAGGGCGGGTAGGGAAGGCTGTGCCTCCCCAAACAGTGGGCGGGAGCCAGGCTGTCTGTCCCCCTCAGAACCCCCAACCCATCCAACCCCCTCTGCTATTGTCCCCTGACTCTCCCCTCTTGGGACCCCCGCCCCTGACTGCCCCCCGGGATCCCCTGCCCCTTATTCAACTCCCCCACCCCCAGGAGCTCACAGCCCTGCCACCCGCATGGAGCCAGCCCTGCGGTGGCATGGTTGTGGGGGAGGGGAGGACAGAAGGTGAGGGGCTGGGGGCTCAGGGGCCAGGCAGGATGGTCCTGTGGGCCGCAGTTAAACTGCTGGGATTTATTATAAAATGAATATGCAGCTAAGGTGACATCTTTTCTTAAAGAAAGATGGTCTCCTGCTTCATTATGTACTTTTGTCCCCTCTTGGTTGCACAGACGCTAATGTGCTGCAAAGACACTAAGAATGCCATAGAGGGATAAATTCAGGCTTTTCTTTAGTGATGAGTAACTGAGCACCTCAATACTAATTTATATTCCAGAATATACAAAAGTGTAATCACCACTTCATAGATAACAGTGGCTTTCCCAAGGCTGCACACAGACACTGCGAACAGAATCCGTTAGTTTTGATGCTAGTCAAGTGCACCTAGCATAAGATCATCCTTTCTCTGTCAAGACTATTTTTAAAAGTGTAGTATATGACTTTTGTAGAATATGCCCTATATTAATACTGGCTTATCAGTTCTGTCCTATTATCATTTCAGAAAGGCTTTATTTGGTTCCTGAGGAAATAACTATTGTACCTTTCGATTGACTTTGTTCTAACCAAGACTCTGAATTATTCCTGAGAAACTGTAGAGGTGGTATTGACCACAGTGTATTCTTCTGGAAAGTTGTCCCAGACTCCAACCTAAACAGAATAAAGGAAATAACTTAAACATTAATCTCTTTTATGTTTGGAGGCCATTTGATACTGTCCCTGGATCTTGACTTCCTAGTAAACTGAAGAAATGTAACACTTGTCATTGTCTCTGCTGAATAATTTTATTATACAGTAACAAAGTTAAAAATACTTAAGTGTGGCTTCATGTTCATCCAAGAATAAGACTCTGAAAGCATAACTTTTGGATGCAAGACTACTTTGAGTGTTTCTGCTTTGGGATAATGGGAATCCTCCAGTAATAGGACTGAACATGCCTTTTCTTTCTGATTGAAAAGGCAAGAACACTGGATAAACTATGGTTTAAAAAAAAAAAAGTACACGCAACCTTTACATTTGAAATACTTTAAGCTCTTAAGCTAACAGGATACATACAATTACAAATGAATACATTTCAGAAATAAGCTGATAAGCTGATATATTGATTTAAATCACCAATTTTAATCATACATTAGCAAGCCAGAGAACTTTGAAAAAAGAAAAGGAGTACTTGTGGTACCTTAGAGACTAACCAATTTATTTGAGCATGAGCTTTCGTGAGCTACAGCTCACTTCATCAGATGTATACCGTGGAAACTGCAGCAGACTTTATATATACACAGAGAATATGAAACAATACCTCCTCCCACCCCACTGTCCTGCTGGTAATAGCTTATCTAAAGTGATCATCAGGTGGGCCATTTCCAGCACAAATCCAGGTTTTCTGATTAACTTATCCTGGTTTTGCATTTGAGTTTTCCTAAAGAGTTAGTTTTCATGGATTGGCATAAGCATTAAAACATGTTTACTTTTTTTAAAGTAAATATAGCCTAATAAACTTGATACTTGCTAACCAGGGAATATACAGTATACAAACTTGCATAATTGTGTATATTTAGTGTCTTAATTTTTACTTTCTTATTATGTTAGAAAATGGTGAATGATGCATTTCTTCACTAGATTGATTTAGTGAGTGAGGAAAAAACAACTTGTGATTTGTCCCAGTCCACATTTGAATGGAAATTGGGTTAATGTAGAAACATTGAAAAACAGCTCTTGTGGCTCGTACATGAGAGCCCAAGTTCAAGGTTATTCACCGACTTACCTTCCACCTCTTAGGGAGGTGGAGAACAGACTTCACAGAAGAGCGCGTTGCCATTGACTTAGCTTGTCTTCACCAGATATAAATGCCTAAAGAACAGAAGCAACTCACAGGGTGGCATTTGTTGTGTGTAGTCACTTTACAGGTGAAATTAAACATTCAAAACCAGGCAGGCTAAAAACTTGCACATTTAATACATTAAAGTAAATAAGTCTGTTACATTACTAACTTACGATTCCATACAGTTTTAGATACAGAAGTTGCTTCTGGTTGACCTTAATTTAAAAATGTGGACATGTTCTGGCTAGTACACTTAAGGACATCTTATTTAAACTTGAATCTTAATGTTTGAATTTGGCCATGTAGTATTATTGCAGGGGTCTGAGGCCCATATGAAAGTAGAGATGCTAAACCCTTTGACTGCTCCAATAAGAATAAGGAGTAAATTTGCCGGGAAGGTGGTGATTGCTGGGCTAAAGTATACTTACTTGCTGGATCCTGCTTTGTGGATCGTCTTGCGTCATACCTTCTAATGGAGGGTCTAGTAAAACTGAAGCCCTTGCTGTTGGAAGGAAAGAGCTTTTTCCCAATAAGCCTTAATTGTTACTGCAAGGAAGCTACTTTGCCTTACTAAGGCTTCCAGCGTGTCCCTGCTTTTGTTTATATTCTCAAATATAAGAGTGAAATATGATTATCCTTTCACAGCTACTTTCTGGAGTCTTAATGGCAGCTGAGACATTGAACAAAAGGTCATATTTAGGCCAGTTTAAACACAATTTGGAATGGTTTATTAATGGAGTGAGTAGGGTGGGCCCCTCACAGAAGGGGCAGGGTAGATCCTGGGTTGCACTTAAATCCCAAAAGTGGTCTTGTGCGTAAAAAGGTTGGAGATCACTGAACTAGAGGTATTGTTAAACCAGTTAGACTTCATGTATATGGGTTCTCTTACATATGTGCTTAATCATGCTCATGTAAGTGTCCTTACCAAAGCTGCACTGATTCAACTAACCTGGTCTTACAACCAGTGCATCATTGTGCAGACCAGGCCAGAGTCCTAACTGTTTCACTGCCTATCTCTTCAAAAGGCTTTCTTCAATCTGTTAAATTTTTGCTTGCACCTAAATAAAACTCAACTGTAAAGAATGAGGTGCACTACTAAATTAAAAACTTTAATATTTGGCTCAATATGTCATTAAAAGGACAAGCTCCCTCAGTGGAAACTTTGACAAATGAGAATGTAAATGGACAGTTTCAAGTTGGTAGGCCCAGAACTCAAACTAGCTGCTCTTTCTTTGGTCCAAAAAATTAGGAATGAAGCCAGGAGCCAGTGGCATAGTATCTGAGCTACCCATTAGTCAACTAGTATCTGTCTCAGGAAGATAGACATCATTAAGGCAACCACTTCCATTTCCAATAATCCTCAAGCATATTAGATTGGATTTTAAACATGAAATACTAACAGTATCTTCTTCACAGGCTTGTACAGTTAAGTGTACAAACTTTAACACTTTTCTTTCTGATTAAACAGAGGAGTATAGCTGTGCATATGGCTCAGGCAGATTCTTTCTCCTTTGTGGCCTTGGTGGGATTATTAGCTGTGGCACAACTCATACAGCATTGGTTCCCCTAGACCTGGTTAAATGCAGAATTCAGGTTTGTTTTGCATGTTGAATGTGGTAAAACTTACAAAGCATGGTAATGAAGTGTGATACATGTCTGCTAACAGAAGCTGGAGGAGTAAGTTATCCATCAAGCAAGATGTTCACCAGCTGTGCATGAGGCTTATATAAAAGCATGGTGTCTTTATTTTTTGCTGCAGAGGAATACAGTTGTGAATATGGCTCGCTCAAGTTTTATGCTCTCTGTGGTTTTGGTGGGGTCCTAAGTTGTGGCCTGACGCACACTGCAGTCGTACCTCTGGATTTAGTGAAATGTCGTATCCAGGTTTGTATCTGAAGGAAACAAACTCCAAAGCTTCTTTAACTTACTCTATTTTCGTATTTAGTCCAGAGGCTGTATGTTTGAGTTTTACAATGGGTATAGTGTAATACCTTAACACTAGTGCTAGGTAGAAAGAAGAAATAAGTAAGCTTTAATGTTCTTTTTGGATTAAATGAACATCCATTGGATTAATAAAAAGAACTTTGCATCCATGTGATGCAGATGAATGGTAGCATAGATGAATAGGGAAAACTTCTAACCACTTTAGGTAAAACAAATCCAGGCTGAAATCTCAATTACAGTTGAGAAACGTGCTTTTGAGTAACTCATGGCAAAACTTTATTCAAAAGTTTGCCACCAGTTGTCTTAAGTATCTTGTGACCAAAGACTAGTGAAACACCTGCGTGGGGGGCATAGGAATAATATACCTGTTTCTCAGAATTCCGGAAGTAGGGGGAAATAAAACTACCTTCAGAGCATCTGAGATGCATGATGTGCATATGGTAAGAGTTATATGAAAATTAATACAGAGGACTTCTGTGCATGGATATTGGATTGAGTTTTTAATTTGAGGCTTTCTTATGAACAAATGGAAAATGCATAGCGGTTGGAAGCTAACGCTTGTGTTAAAATGATACTAAAACTTGGAATTACTTGAGTTTCCAGATCAAATTAATGCTTGCATGGTTAGCTATCAACGACTATACGAAAAATGTGTGTAGGCCAGCAGTCAAATGGTAAAACATGATTAAGTAGACTTGGAGAAACTGAATGCCCATTCCATTTGAATGTATACATTACTTACATGGAAAAATAAGTATCTAATTATTATACATTCATTGGTTAATGGCACAACTAAGCAGCTGTTCAGCCAAAGGCTTATGCTCAAAGAGTGAGGTAGATTAAAGCACATCTCTAAACTGCTAGAAATTCACTGGCTTTCAGGTTACTGTGTGAGGTGAGCAGTGTTTCTAGAGCTAGTAGACATATAATTGTGGTAAAACTTCTGAGACTGGGAGAAATGGATGTGAACTTTGTGCCTGTGCAACAGTTCCTGATTTCTTAAAGGAACAGTCTTGTTATCCTTTCATTTAGAATTGCATGTCATTCAGAAATCTCTAAACCTGCTTTAACGGTGGAAGTTGATGTATTTTTTGGGGCAGTTGTGATCCCGTTATGAAAGATGCAGTGAACTTAACTAGCATTCAGTCAAATACACTATACTTCAGGTGAAGGCACCATAAACTCTTGTACATGGTTTGGGTTGAAATCACTGTAGTCAAGTAAATATTCATGTTTTACCAAATAAAACCTGCAATTTGATAAATGTTTTACTTAAAGTAAACTTCCTTCTACTCTAAATAGAGGAATATTCATAATTTCTAAAAGTATGCAAGTAACTGAGCACTTCTGTAACGTTGTACTCTGAAACTGCCTCCATAAAACAGGCTCTAAAAGAGCCATCGGATCCTGAATTTTAAAGTAATTAAATAGACATGCTTGACACTTCTGAGTTATTAACTTATAAACTGTCTCTTTAGTATACATGAAATCTAGTGTCTTTTGACTTTTTTAAAAGATCTGTGCTCCACCTCTCCATCGTCATCTCTGTCAGTTCTTATGGCTTTGTATGGCATTCTCCTTTCATATTGCCCTGAGTCTCAAATAAGAGAAGCTAATGTCAAGTGTTAAATGCACAAAATCAAGAAATAGTGAGACTTCCTCTAAATCTTTATCACAATCTCATGATGTAGCAGTAGTATTAAATTGATTAGCTTCCTTTAGTATTTACAACAGTAAAGGTAGTCTAGCTCTAAGAATATTACTGAACTGAATACTGGATTATTACTGAAATATCACTCAAACATATTTTCACAAAGTTTACATCTTCTGCAGTGTGTTCCTGGTATACAGAAGTAAAAATAAGAACAGGAAATAAGACCGAAGGAAGGTGAGGCCATGATAAGTCTATAGTGAGGTGGGCAACAAGTTAGGCCCAAGATTACTTAAGAATCTTCAGTAAGATTTTTATAATTCATATTTTTGTAGTTTCAAAAAACCCAACTAGTAACTGAAATACTACTTCTGTTGCTGAGCAAATGGTGAGGTGAGCTTAAGGGCTCAGTCTACACTTACATTTTATTCTAGCATAGTCATGTCCAGTAAAATCACATTCTTAACCGACATTGCTGTTCTGGCATAATCCTTAAGTGTGGAAACAGCTATACTGACGTAACTGCTTATTCTAGTTCAGGGAACTGGCATAAGCACAGTAATGCCAGTATAAATGTGCCCACACTTGAAAGGTTGTGTGGAAAGCTATCCAGCAAAATTTCTAATGTAGTCAAAGGGCCACATCTTTTGAGGCTATAGATATGGAACAAACAGTAAAAATAACTTGAAATAGCATAATTTCTCATGTCAGTATCTACAGACTGAATTTCAGCTGACAGCGGCAAGCCTAATAATTGAGACTAGTTAACGACCATTAAGATTATAAGTAAAGGTGATTTTAGTGTAGAAATCTGTATAATGGCACTATGGGAAGAGGGTAGAAAACTTACTGTGGATGGGGGGGTGTGGGAACCTACTGCCTGTACCATATAGCTAACTTTCCAATTTGTTTAGGTGGACCCACAAAAATACAAAAGCATCTTCAATGGATTCTCAGTTACAGTTAAAGAAGATGGCTTTCGTGGTCTGGCTAAGGGATGGGCTCCAACCTTTTTTGGATACTCAATGCAAGGGCTCTGCAAATTTGGTTTCTATGAAGTGTTCAAAGTTCTGTATGGCAACATTCTAGGAGAGGTAAGCTTTAAGTTGTCTACCACACTTTTTTGAAACCCAGTTTGTGTGTTGCATATTTGTGTAGCTAATTCACTTTACAACAGAAATACTGAATTCAGTTTGAAAGAATACTTCGGTATAAAATCTTTGTTTCCATTTGCATTTCAGGAGAATGCATATTTGTGGCGTACATCACTCTACTTGGCTGCCTCTGCCAGTGCAGAGTTTTTTGCTGATATTGCTCTGGCTCCAATGGAAGCTGCAAAGGTTCGCATCCAGACCCAGCCTGGATATGCTAACACTTTGAGACAAGCTGCTCCAAAAATGTTTGCAGAAGAAGGTGTATGGGCGTAAGTATCTGTATCAGTTTCTCTCCGCTGGAATATAAGGATCAAGAAACTTCTTATTAGCGAAGGAAAATAATTCTTCTGTTTAGCCTTAACAGTGGCTATAGCATTAAGTAAAATCTTTGATGCTTTCTACCTTGTCATATATTGTACATAAATAGTGAAGGGTACTTTGAAGATTCTGTATATCAAAACAGAATATCAGGAAATCATTACATTGCTAAAACAGGATGCTGAAGTCAGCAAGTTAATGTAGTCAACATGTTCCTTAGATCCATCTTTGTGGATATCTCTTGTACTGAGTTCTGCTTGTTAACTTTAGTTTCTGGTAGTTCCAGTCAACTGATATTCAGCAACTTTTTGTTGTACAGTCAAAGATGCTTGAGTCATTGGCATGTGAGAGTAATATACCTGCACATTTGCCTGTGTTCTGATATCAATGGCTGTAGATCTACATGTCATTTCTCACTATCAGGACTTGGCTGGTATGCAGACATGAGTTATTAACTTGCACTTGCAACAGGGAAATGACTACAAAATGGCATCACCTTGACTTTTCTCCTTCCTGTCATAACTGTTTATCTTTCTGACAAACACTTGAGCCTGTACAGTTGTTTAAGTTGTTTCTTAGTAGATGGCACAAGCCAGAAACACAGCTTCACTTTTCAGGTCTGGCAGTTAGATTTCCTAACTAAAAGTAAGCAAACAACTTAGATATACAGGCCGCTGAGATAGTAAATTGGAGCTGCTTTAGTGCTGTCTATTTTCTTTTCAGAGTAGAATTGCACTCCAGAGTAGGCTATTATTTGCTACAATTCTGACTTTCTCCACTTTTAAGGTTCTACAAAGGTGTTGTTCCTTTGTGGATGAGACAGATTCCATACACAATGATGAAATTTGCCTGCTTTGAACGTACAGTTGAAGCTCTCTACAAGTATGTGGTTCCGAAGCCCCGGAGTGAATGTTCCAAGCCAGAACAATTGGTTGTCACATTTATAGCTGGCTACATTGGTAAGGAGGCCTTTGAACACTGATTCTTTCAGAAGTGTCTGAAAACTATGAACAATCTTATGTCCTGAGTTTTTACTACTGTGATTCCAGAAACTATAATTGAAAATTAGGTACTTTTTCTGAACATCTTAATGAGGTTAGATAGGGAAAAATTTACAAAACTTTTGTTAGGAAAAGAATGAGTAGCTACACGAAAAATGGTCTTGGTTTTATTGATTCTCAACTGAATTATGAAATGCCATGAACATTGCTCTTTATGTAAGGTGCAATCATGAGATCCTGTGTCTCCTAAGCTGTAAGAGGTACAGGTTTTGGCAGAAGGAGCACTAGTTTAGCAGAGCAAAGGAAGGCTTGCAGGAGGAAGTGATTACATAATTGACACCCTTAAATTTGTCAGAATGAAACTCCCTGTCTGCACTAAATTTGTCAGAATGAAACTCCTCTACACAGAGGAGATTTACAGGAGCAGAGCAGCGGTGCACAGGGCCGCTCGGTTAGCGAATCAGATGGGCATTGACCCACTGTTGGGATAGGGTAGAGATTATCACAAGAGGTGAGGCTTGCATACGACTGCAGACCAGGGCTCCCAAGCCACACAAGAGCAGACTCTGTTCTGTCAGGATTTAAGAGCTATGGCAGCCACGTTCTCCCTGCTGCCTGGCTACTAAGTTGCACAGAAATGTGGCGCTGTTTCCATTAGCAGGTAACCGCTGTTAAGCGAAGTCCCTTTGCTTCTACTATAGCAAACAGTAAATACTGTATTGATACATTTCTTTCAGCTGGTGTTTTCTGTGCCATTGTTTCTCATCCTGCTGACTCTGTGGTGTCTGTGCTGAACAAGGAAAAGGGCAGTTCGGCTTCACAGGTTCTTGTGAGGCTTGGATTCAAAGGTAAAAACTTTAACTTGGACAGGAGTTTTATGTATAATAATGTCTCCCAGTCGCTAATGCTTATGCTTTACTCAACAGGGGTATGGAAGGGTCTGTTTGCTCGTATTATTATGATTGGTACGCTGACTGCACTACAGTGGTTCATCTACGATTCTGTCAAGGTTTATTTCAGACTTCCTCGTCCACCTCCACCTGAAATGCCAGAATCCCTAAAGAAGAAGCTGGCTCTAACTGAATAGACAAATCATGGACTGACTTTTCTGGTTGACCAGCATTAATGAGAAACTATGCTCATTAAACTTTTATATATTTGACCATGTAGGAAACTAAAATTCTGTAACTGATACAATTATTGGTTGTGCCCTTATCCCAAGTGAGGGTTCAAAAACTTCTGTTGTCATTATCTGTTTAAATAAATGGGAACTAGAGTGATTAGTGTGTCATTTGGTATCATACATGTAAATTTAAAACTTTGCAAGAGCAAATACTGTACCTTGAATCTTTAAGTGAGCCCAAAGTTTAGAAACTCTTGAAATGCAAGAACTTGCATCTCATAAAGGTCTCCAAGAGTCTCTCTCAGATCTTGAGAGAAGTAGTAAGCACCATGTCCCTAGCTATATCTGAAGAGCACAAATGTAGTTCTAGGGATACAAAGGTGGCATAAACTTGAATTTTGCATTTTAGTGATTTGGGGGCTGCTGGCTGATTCCAGGAGGCTGCCCCACAATTTATGGTAGTCTGAAGGAAGACACCATAACTTCGAGCAGCCAGCAGTCCTGACTGCGAAATGGCAGCCAGGGAAGTGCAGCATAGGGGGCACCCTGGGGCAGTGAAGAGGTGTCATCAGCCACTTACCTCGTAGGTCTCTTTTTCACTTATCAGACCAGATAACTTATGCTGGCTTGTTGACCAGATTGTGCTTTTTGTGTGGTGCATAATCCATATGATGCATGGACTCTGTATGACAACCACCTATTTCAGTGATTCCCAACTTTAGTACAGAGCCTTTTTCTCTTTTATCAACCCACCCAGGTGCAACTTCATGGGGGGAGACGAAGGGTCTCGGTCATAGGCCAGTGTCCTTCTCCTTTGCTGTTGCTGCCACTGCCTCATCACCTCACTCACTAAAGGTGCATCAACCACCCACTGTAGCACCCTCTGCTCCAGCACTGCAACTCTAATCCCATCTTGGAGAGGAGGGGAGAACCCATGGGGGGTGGGAGGGTTCTCCCCTCCACTTTTCTGGTGTACTGTCTAGAGGGGTGTTAACTCTCTCTCCCTGTTCTGCTGCTACCATGGGAATGGCAACCAGATTTGATTATGTACATGCTGGCTTAGAAGTACAGAAAACTGCTTTCATTTTATGTATATCAAAGACTATGCTGTACCTGTCAAATACACTTGCTTTCCACTAGCACAGTATTGAAATTACTAGGTGTCTGCTTAAGTAATTCTTAGGGTATTTATTTGGAAGTATGTACTGGTTAAGAATAACAGTCTGGTTATAGACAATATGAATAGTTGTAATTCATTTACCTTTCTATCTAAAGAGATGATGCAGTGCACAATGATAAAATATAATAAACATCCAGCTTGGTTCTTGTAGTGCATGAGTACCTCTTGAAAATTTAATTTTGTTGTTGTATGATACTCTTCCAAAACTTCAACAGAAAAGAGAGGGGTGAGGCGAGAACTAGCAGAAACTTGGGTCAGTTGAAGTTGCTAGCTGAAGAACAGTGTAGATATGAGCTACTTTTTTTTCCCTCTAGCAGCTTGAGTGAAGAATGAGTCACAGGTGAAATCAACATAAAATGTTGGCAAATATTACAAAAAACCTCTTGAGCACTGGTTAGGAACACATACAATGTTAAGATGAACTGTGTAAGTAACTAAGATTAAGGCCAGAAATACATGCTGAATGCCCTTAATGACCAGGATATGAGTGATGGGTAGCACAGAAACAAGCTTTAAATTACCTTACCCATCACTGAAATCCGCTATCATTTTCTTCACTGAAGACACTTCATAATGCCTTATTCTGTGACCTTACATATATTGTAAGGCTGCATAGGATGTATTGGTTTCTCCAAAACACAATTGTAGTATATCTTTACCAAACTAGGAAGTGCAAAAATAGTTTGAGGTTTCTAAGGTAAATGAACATAAGAACGGCCGTACTAGGTCTGACCAAAGGTCCATCTAGCCCAGTATCCTGTTGTCCGACTGGCAAGTACCAGGTGCCCTGGAGGGAGTGAACAGAACAGGTAATCATCAAGTGATCCATCCCCTGTCGCCCATTCCCAGTTTCTGGCAAACAAGTTAGGGACACCATCCCTGTCCATCCTGGCTAATAGCCATGGATAGACCTAGCCTCCATGAATTTATCTAGTTCTTTTTTAGAGCACTGTTATAGTCTTGCCAGAGGATGTTGTGAAGGCCAAGGAATTTCAAAGGTTGAGTGTGCGTTGTGTGAGGGGGTGGGAAATACTTCCTTTGGTTACAGAGGAACAGCCGTGTTAGTCTCTATTCGCAAAAAGAAAAGGAGTACTTGTGGCACCGTAGAGACTAACCAATTTATTTGAGCATGAGCTTTCGTGAGCTACAGCTCACTTCATCAGATGCATACCGTGGAAACTGCAGCAGACTTTATATATACACAGAGAATATGAAACAATACCTCCTCCCACCCCACTGTTTCATATTCTCTGTGTATATATAAAGTCTGCTGCAGTTTCCACGGTATGCATCTGATGAAGTGAGCTGTAGCTCACGAAAGCTCATGCTCAAATAAATTGGTTAGTCTCTAAGGTGCCACAAGTACTCCTTTTCTTTTTCCTTTGGTTAGTTTAAACTTGCTGCCTATTAATGTCCCAAGTTCTTTGTTATGAAAAGGAGTAAATAACACTTCCTCATTTACTTTCTCCACACCAGTCATGATTTGTAGACTTCTATATCACCCCGTCCCCCCAAGTGGTTCTACCTACTGCCATCCTATACAATATTCTAGCAGCATTCTGGGGAATGAGGGTAAGATTTATGTAACCTCACTCTTGTACTCCTTTTTAAAGAAGCTAAAGTGGGTGGATAAGTTTAATTTCTTCTCCTGTTTCCTGCAGGAGCAGCATTTTTTCTGGCCAGCTGAATTTAGTTTTAAGTTTAGCTTTCTTCTGGCAGGATTACTCTGACTCTTCTGAGGCATAGGCTGTAGAAGTACTATACTAGATGTCTAGTATGTCATTCCATCACAGGCAAGAACTGAGTTACAACTAAACAGCTCCCATTTTTGGATACTCCATTTACATCCATCCTGGCTGGAGCTTTGTGTGGTTTTTTTTTTTTTATTTTTGCTGTTACAGCTAATCTGAATTTCTAATATTCCACTGGTAATATCTAGTTGTTGCTATATGGATGTTCCTACACTTTTGTAATGGAAGTAATCTGTTTGGATGTCTATGTAAAATTACACTCCAAAATAACTCCAAGAGTGAGGAAAAGTGCTGGTTAAGATCAGAAGGAATGGTGTGAATGAAGTTGAATCAGCAAAGGTAAGCTTAGCCCTGGTCTACACTAAGAGTTTAGGTCGAATTTAGCAGTATTAAATCGATGTAAACCTGCACCCGTCCACACGATGAAGCCCTTTTTTTCGACTTAAAGGGCTCTTAAAATCGATTTCCTTATCCACCTCTGACAAGTGGATTAGCGCTTAAATCGGCCTTGCCAGGTCGAATTTGGGGTACTGTGGACACAATTAGACGGTATTGGCCTCCGGGAGCTGTCCCAGAGTGCTCTATTGTGACCGCTCTGGACAGCACTCTCAACTCCGATGCACTGGCCAGGTAGACAGGAAAAGGCCCGCAAACTTTTGAATTTCAATTTCCTGTTTGCATGGTCACCTGCAGCTTGCCATGCTGGCCAGAGCTCATCAGCAGAGGTGACCATGATGGAGTCCCAGAATCGCAAAAGAGCTCCAGCATGGACCGAACAGGAGGTACGGGATCTGATCGCTGTATGGGGAGAGGAATCCGTGCTATCAGAACTCCGTTCCAGTTTTTGAAATGCCAAAACATTTGTCAAAATCTCCCAGGGCATGAAGGACAGAGGCCATAACAGGGACCCGAAGCAATGCCGCGTGAAACTTAAGGAGCTGAGGCAAGCCTACCAGAAAACTAGAGAGGCGAACAGCCGCTCTGGGTCAGAGCCCCAAACATGCTGCTTCTATGATGAGCTGCATGCCATTTTAGGGGGTTCAGCCACCACTACCCCAGCCGTGTTGTTTGACTCCTTCAGTGGAGATGGAGGCAACACAGAGGCAGGTTTTGGAGACAAGGAAGATGATAGCTCACAGCAAGCAAGCGGAGAAACCGGTTTTCCCGACAGCCAGGAACTCACTCTCACCCTGGACCTGGAGCCAGTACCCCCCAAACCCACCCAAGGCTGCCTCCCGGACCCGCCAGGCGGAGAAGGGACCTCTGGTGAGTGTACCTTTTTTAAAATACTATACATGGTTTAAAAGCAAGTATGTTTAATTTGCCCTGGCATTTGCGGCTCTCCTGGATGTTCTCCTAAAGCCTTTGCAAAAGGTTTCTGGGGAGGGCAGCCTTATTCCACCCACCATGGTAGGACACTTTACCACGCCAGGCCAGAAGCACGTACTCGGGAATCATTGTAGAACAAAGCATTGCAGTGTATGTTTGCTGGCATTCAAACAACGTCCGTTCTTTATCTGTGATATCATTCATGGTCACCTGGTTGAAATAGGGTGCTTTTCTTAAGGGGACATGCAGAGGTGCCCATTCCTGCTGGGCTGTTTGCCTGTGGCTGAACAGAAATGTTCCCTGCTGTTAACCGGGGGGCGCTAGCCACGTGGTGTGGGGAGGAAATGCAACCTTAGAACGAAAGCACATGTGCTGTGTATGTAATGTTAACAGCAAGGTTTACCGTGAAAGAGAGTGTAGCCATTGTTCTAGAAAATGTCTTTTTAAATACCACTGCCTCTTTTTTTTTTTTTCTCCACCAGCTGCATGTGTTTCAATGATCACAGGATCTTCTCCTTCCCAGAGGCTAGTGAAGATTAGAAGGTGAAAAAAACGCACTCGTGATAAAATATTCTCTGAGCTCATGGTTGCCTCCACGCAGTCGTCTGTGCTGTGTCAGTGTGGGAGGATGACAATGTCAGAGTGCAGGAAAGCACAGTATGACCGGGAGGAGAGGTGGCGGGCTGAAGAGAGGGCTGAAGCTTAAATGTGGTGGCAGCATGATGAGAGGAGGCAGGATTTAATGCTGAGGCTGCTGGAGGATCAAACTAATACGCTCCAGCGTATGGTTGAGCTGCAGGAAAGGCAGCAGGAGCACAGACCGCCTCTACAGCCCCTGTGTAACCAACCGCCTTCCTCCCCAAGTTCCACAGCCTCTTCACCCAGATGCCCAAGAAC